ATACAAGTTTGATAAAACTTAATCCACCACTCCAGAAATCCTTTAGCCGCGAGATGGGTAGGTTCGAAGGCTATCAGCTCAAATTGGGCAAAGCCTTGATATTGTTCTTGCTAGATCTTGGCTTCCCTTGCCTTGAAAGTTCGACCAGATGTGATGGCGCTCTCAGTTTGGAACAAAGGTTCAGGAATCAGTTGGCATAAGCCAAACTGCCTCGAAACGAAGTTTGGTTGGTAGGCAAAGAGAAGAATTTGGTTCTTAGCTGGGGTTATCCTTGAAGAGATGAGTCTAGGAAGCAAGAAAGCTTTCCATACATCTTGGATCTCCTTGCTCTTGATGGCTTCTGAGAGAGCCATGGTGAACCAAGAAGGTCCATGAGCCCTCGAAGCAAAAGGCGCCATGCTCTCTTCGAACTTATGCCTTTTAGAGAGTATCATGATGTACTTCGAGAATTGAACCTTGAAGTCATCCTTGTCATCATTAGGAGTTAGTCTTCGAAGCCTAGTGCCTTCGACTATCCTATCACTTATTTCCGAATCTTGCTCATCTATGGTGTTGGCGGTTGATAAAGAAGGTTCGAACATGGCATTTAGCCATAGTTGGAGTAGCCAAAATGGGCCAGCTAATAGAATGTTTTTAGAGGTGTGGGATTTGAGACTCGAAACGGCTGACCTCAGGCTCTCATAGAGGTCAACTAAGAGTAATTCACTTAGGCACACTTTGCGATTTTCATGTAAATCCCTAGCTAGAGGAATGAACCTACTAGCTACCTGCAGGGATCTACTGCAGAAAACGTACCTAGACAGCCACAGGGTTAAGAATGTAATGTGCTCTATGTCAGACACATTGTCCCCTTCAGCATGATAATGGCTGATAAATTTGGAAAAGCTGGCTAACTTGACTTCGAAGTCAATTATGCTGGAGTGCTCTTCATTGTCAGGAACATAAGTTTCTCCCACTGGCGACAGCCCAGTAATGGCCGCTATATCGAAGAAGGTTGGGGTAATCATTCCACCTGGGAGATGGAAAGTGTTGTAGGTACTATCCCAGAAATAAAGGGACGCAAACAGCAGAGGATGGCTATAGGTGAATCCAGGTTTCGATAGCTTAATGAGGTTATAAATGCCTAATTCTTCCCATTGCTGGGATTTCTTGGCTTCTACTTTTGTGAACCAATTTTGATAAGCAATATCAGAAGTAGGGCAAGATCGAAATGGCTTAAAATTGATTTTTACATAATCCAAAATAAATGGGTCCTTGGGAGGAACAATTGGGGTTTCTACGGTATTCGAACTAAGAGATTCTACTGCCCTAGGGGCATCCATTTTGTTGAATAAGGGTTTGAAGTTATAACAGACGGGAAAAATTGTCCTGGTGTCCTTTAATATTTCAAAAACTGTAAGAGGGCCATTTAAGGCTAACCTCTTACCAGCAACATGGGTAGGGATGAGTACCTGTGATGCGTACAGCATTTCTTTTTCTTTGGAAATCATTTGAGGTGCAAGAGCAGATTGGCCTTGAATGGTGACGATTTTACTCTCCATAGTTGCTCCTGTAGTTTTTCCTTTCTTCTTGGAGACTTTCTTGAGTTGGGATGAGGTGGAAGAAGACATTTTTGTTGTTTGAAAGCTTAGATTGTTTGATGAGAGAAGAAGAGTAAAAATCCAGAGTATGAAAGGTTTAGAGTGTAAAAAAGAAAAAGGAAGATTAAATTGATGTTTTATAATGAGAAGATTAAGCATCCACCGAGTAAAGGTGTGATACGTGGAGATCATGGGTTGGTGTGATGAAGAGGTGGCGTGAAGTTGATATAGGTAATAGGCGTGATTTAAAGAATAATCATTACTTATAACTGCACCACACTGTGAAGTGACTCTGGGCGGTTAAGGAACCCAAAAGGTGCTATGATTGATGTGACTGGAGTCAAATGCATTAAATGTTACGATGATTCGAAAATCCTATCAAAATCTTGTATAAATGTTTAAAATAGGTATTTCTCAAAGAGATCGAAATACATATTTTAAAGGGGCAATTTGTTGGCTGAAGATTTTGATAAAGTTATTTAGAAGCCAAAAGGGATAAACGTTCTGATCGAAATGGAATTAAACGCCATATTTCAAAATTGCAGAAGCAGTGTTTCGAATAAGTGTGTCAAAGCTTGAAGCTTCGAACGGTAATTATGAGAACATATCCAAAGGAGTCTCGAAACAACAGCAAGGCTATGTTTGGAAAGAACGCTCGAAATAGAGAGACACCAAAAGCATTTAAAATTCAAATGGAAGCGGGACTTTCAAAGTTTGAAAGTTATGTGTTGGAGCATTTGGGGACACGTGGAAAGATGAAGGAAGCATTGTCTTGCATGTTCGAAACGTGGCATAATCCTGTAGCGAGACCGTTAGGGTCGAATTAGTATAAATAGAAGTCTTAGTATTAGGATTTCAGTGTGTCATATCTGTTATACAAAATACTCAATAACATTCAAACTACCACATGGCAAGGGAAACGAATGCAAGAGAAATGTATGTATGATAGCACCATGTATTTCTAACTTAATGAAAGCCTTTTTACCATTTCCAATATTTTCTTCTTTTCTTTTTGTCGAGTAACATTTGCAAGTTTTCTTATTTACTATCTTTTCATTTCAAAGTCTTTTCCTCAAAGTTTTACGTTTTACTGTTTTCTTTATATTTCGAGCAGTTTATATTTCAGAGAACTGTCACATTTTCAATACCTTTACTTTCAAGTATTGTTCTTCAAGCGCATACTTTTATTTAAAATCATTTACAGATTTCTTGCATTAAACGCTTTCTTCACATTTTAAACTTCTACCTTCCAGAAACCTTTTATGTTAAACATTTTGTAAGTCGAAACTATTTACTTCATTTTTCATTCAGTTTTATATGTCTCTACAATCAGCATTACAATTAGCATTTATTCGTATAACTTAGTTTTCATATACATTTTGACCACAATTTTAAACTCTTAGAGAGAGATCGAAGTAAGCCAAACACTTGTACAACAACCATGAATAATTGTTCGATTGTGAGAGTAACCTTAATATCCAAGGAGTCCTAGGATCAATCTAGTCGATCCTGTGAGTTACCAGAGAGATTGAATAACGTTAAGAAAGATTATTCGATAGTTTGGAAGACTAGCGGTTGTTTACCAGAAATCACTGGAAACACCTACGTACTAACGAAAGGATGAATCTCCCGACCAGGTTCATGAATCTACTAGCCAAACGCATGAGTGTCGCGGGCACGATCATGAGCCGTATGCCTAAACTTATGAATATCCCGAGCACAACCATGAATCAGGCGCCTAGCGCGCTTAAATCTATCAGACATAATCCCCAGACACAAGGTTCTATTACTAAAACGTCGTCAAATCTATCTACAACACAAGAAATCAAAGGGAGAAGACACTTACTTGGAAGAAGATTTGAAGAGCGACGGTGGTGGAAGTAATCAGACGGTAAACGGCGCGGCGGTCTCAGCGACGTTATGAAAACTCACGAGAGTGAAAACAGAGAAAATATGAGAAGCGTGAAGAGGTGAAACGAACTATGGGCCCTAGAGCCATATTTATAGAGATGACGTGGAATATGAAACGCCGCGTCGGGGAACCACGAACCGCCCCCGTCCTCGACGCCTACTTGCCTAGACAATGATGGCCCTATTCTCTAGGACGACACTGTGATTTCCAAGAGCTACACCACGTGTCCAGTTGACGCAACTGACGCATCCCCGCGAGCGCTCCTCGAACACTCCTCGACGGATGAAATCCCTGCATCGTGCACGCGATCCTCGCGAAAGAGCGAACTGGAATCAAGTCATAACTCATGTACCAGGAGCAACACCTTGGGGGGCTCTTGTTCTGGACTGGGCCTTCCCGTGGCCCAATCACCAGTAAGGCCCAATCCAAGCCTTGCCACGTGTTATGCTGGGCATTAGATCCTCCGAGCATACCCGATCACGGGCTATAGGTCGAATGCGACCATGCCCGTCGGTGCCCGCGACGAGAGACGTCCCCGACGAGAGACGCCCCCAGACGAGGAACATCTCAATCCAAGCCTTGCTCGAGTACCCTCCTCGTAGGGCAGACTTTCGACCCCTCCAGATGTCTCGGAGTCCTCAGGGCCCCGAGAAGACCGCGTCTTCACCCTCCCTATTCTGCGGAGAGCATCATCCAGGTAGGAGACCACGTGCAGGTCCCCACTACTCACGTAGAACCTAACAATCCCTTTTGTTGGGCCTGGTTGATCAGCCCAATAAAGGGACCTTGACTCAGCGCTGGAGGCTATAAATACCCTCTATTTCAAGAGGATCAAGTATTCATTCATTCACACCTATATACTATTTGCCTGCTCATTCCGTCTCCCACTTTGTCATCGGAGTGTCTTGCAGGTATTCCCGTCTCCTTCAAATCCAGTTCAAACCAGCTGTGACGGTCCAATTCTGATCAGGTAAGTTCTCACAAAATTTTAACAATGAAACATGTCATTTTTATGTTAGTTGTGTAAGTTTATTAAGACATAATATTTTGAATGAAAATAGATAACAATGGACGCGAACATATGATATCATTATTTTGATTATCTTTATATTAATATGTTTTCTTATTGACAAACAAAAATATTTTTTTTAACATAAGAAATTTTATCCCAATTTTATTCCGCTCTATACACGAGTATACTAGTAATTTAATAAAACTTATCTGCGAGAGACACACCAATTGATCTCTATCTCTCTTCATTAATAATTATCTGACATCAAAATAACATATATTAATTTTTTTTTTCATCTTCAAATAACTGAAGTTACGAAAGTTATACAAATAACAAAGCCAGACAAGGTATGAAAGAACAAAACGAATCTAGAAGTTTCTTTCCGCAACACCGAAATCAACAGTTATTAATTCATATAAATATACGTTTCTTGATGGCCAAGTCGTAAATCAGTATATAGAGTACATCAAAGTTTAAAGAAAATTGAAACGAAATCATGGAATCAAACACCGGAAGAGGAATTTCGCGAGGAATGCTTCCGTTACTAGCTCTCCACACCTTCACCGAATATTACAGATCCGACTCCAAACCCCCCGTCACCGCCGCCCTCATCGCCGCCAACACTCTCATCTACCTCCGACCGAATTTCCTCCGTCCCCTCATTCCCTCAATCGATCAAATCTGGTTCAACCCCCACCTCATCCTCAAGGTACTTCAATTTCAATCGATTCAATTAACCTAACCTAACAAACTATCCTAATCTTGTTTACTTCTTCTCTCGCAGAACAAGGATCTGCAACGATTCTTCCTATCGCCGTTCTACCATATCACCGATTCTCACCTCGTGTACAACATGGTCTCTCTTCTCTGGAAAGGTATTCAGTTAGAAAACTCCATGGGAAGTCTCGAATTCGCTTCTACGGTAGCTTCTCTTCTCGCTTTATCTCAGAGTATAACCCTAATTTTGTCCAAATCCTTGCTTGTTTTCTTCGATTATGAAAGATCTTACTATAACGAATATTCCGTTGGTTTCTCCGGCGTTCTGTTCGCTATGAAAGTTGTTCTCAATTCACAATCGGATAATTACACTAGTGTTTACGGTGTTTTGGTTCCGTCGCGTTATGCGGCTTGGGCTGAGTTGTTTCTGATTCAAATGTTTGTGCCTGGTGTGTCGTTTCTTGGTCATCTTAGTGGTATACTTGCTGGACTTGTTTATTTAAGATTGAGGCGAAATTATTCGGGTTCCAATCCGTTGGGTTTTGTTTTTAGGGGGTTTACTTCTTTGTTGAAATGGCCGGTGAGGTTTTTGGATAATTTGTTTGGGTTTCGGAGGGGGCGGATTACTGGTAGGGGGACTGTTGGACGGGCGCGGAGGAATGTAAATGCGGGGAGTGCGCGGCAGGCTGTTGATTGGAGATGCCAGGCTTGTACTTATGATAATTCTGGTTTGTTGAGTGTTTGTGAAATGTGTGGGACTAGTAGGGTTTCTTCTTCTACGCAACAGGGTCTTCGTCGTGATTATTATGATTCAATGGATGAATTGCGCCGCAGGAGAATCGAAAGATTTGGTAGGTGACGGTGAAGGTAGAATTTATAACAATAATATACAGTTGGATGTAGAAATTAGACAAATTTTACTTGGCTGGATGTAAGTTTGTTATGTAACTATGAGCTGATTTTGCAAAGAGCTATTATGTCGATTTTGTGAATTACATTATTTCTTAGTACATGGAACCATGGATCCTTTTCTTGCAAGATTGGTTTAGCATTTGCTTCCATGTTGATTCTGGTTAAAAAGATTTACTTTATTGGGAATGAGTATGGACTATACTTTTTAAATTGTGGTTCCCATTGCATTGCAGCTGCAATATTGTTGAAGCTCAACCGCATCGCATCAAACAGTAAGATATCCCATTAGAAGCTCTAATGGGTAGCTTTATTTTACTAAGATATTTGGTATTTTCAAATTTACACTTGAGTGCTTGTGAAGATGACCTTAAATATAGGAAGGAATGTGGGAATTTTTGGTTATATAAAACTATGACTATTGTTTCTTTTTATCTAATTTTAAACATAAGCTCTATTGGAATAAATAACTTAATCTGAAGTTTATGACATAACTATTTATGCTAAATGCTCTTTTTCTCTCTTTTCTTTAACTCAAATTCTATTTGATCTTTACTTTAAAAGACCATTTTAATTCATGATTCTGTAAATGGTATCAGGTTAATCCTTTGAGTCCCATATCTTCGAACAATCTTCTTCTTCCACCTTAAATTCAGATGAGAATGGAGAATTAAAATCTAAACCTGTCCCAAATCGATTCAGGTTAGATTCGGGTATTTCTTCATGCTGTCATTTATTTAGTAAAATTAATTTTTTAATAAAAATATTTATTTATTTTAAAATTAAATTAAATTATAAATAATAAAATAAAATAATCTCAAAAACTTTTATACATATATTTCAAATATTTTAAAATAATAAATATAAATTAAATTATCAAAATATTGACTATATATTTAATATTTTAAATTATCAAATAAATAATAATGTATATAATAAACTAAACGGGTTAGATTTAAGGGTGAATTTGGAGTGGGTATTAGTGTTTTTATTATCTGATTCATCCCTATATTTTATAACGGAGAAAAACTTAAATCGGAACTCAACTACAGTCAAAGTGGGTTTTCTTCCATCAACTTCGAAACGATTTCGGATAGATTTTTATAGATATAAATTTTGTTACCATGCCTACTATCAATCAACCAATTGATGCAACGACGCCGTTTTTCATAGTGATATTTGCTTTTTTAATCACTTGCATAAAAGCAAACCGTTGTTTTAGGGATTGATGTTTTAACAATAGCGAACTGTTGTTTCATTTGTTTGGGTTTTTGGTTTGTGTCGGTTCAATTGTGTTTTGAAGAGTGTTTAAATTTTTTTATTAAAAAAGCTTCACGACCACTCACAAATCTCTTCATTTCCACAAGTTTTGACTTTGATCCTTGCGAGTTTATGAATTTCAATTTCTTCTTTAAGACTTAGTGTTTTCGTTCTTCACAAAACTAGAATCCACACTTTCAATGGGATGGGTTTATGAATCATGGTGCAAAATCGGAGACATGGACTTTATGAATGTTGGGTTTGAATGCTGGATTTTATGACTACTACTTTGGCAACGGTGTTTTATGGCTATTCTTTAACTATTGAAGAATCAATATATGTATTTTTAATGAATCTAACTCCTCTAAAAAAGATATAATTTGTTTGTAATAATGATGATGATGATATTTTAGAAATGTCTACGAAAGACATTGTCAAAGATGATAAGATCAGCCAGAACACAAAGAGGAAATCATTCAACAAGAACAAAACCATAGAGATCTTCCTCACGAATGGAGAACTCGTCGTGATCATCCAATCCACAAAATTATTAGTGACATTAGCAAATGAATTTCAATAAAGCTAAATCTCAATGATGCTTGTTTGAATATGATATTTGGTTCTCAAATAAAATCTTCCAAGATTAATGAAGTCTTAGAGGATGACCAATAAATACTTGTCATGTAAGAGAAATTAAACCAATTTGAAAGAAATCAAGTTTGAGAGCTTGTTCCTAGACATAGTTGTAAATACATTATTGGTACCAAATAGGTCTTTAAGTATAAACTAGATGAGAATGGTATAATTTTTTGAAACAAGGCAAGATTGTGGCCCAAGGATATAATCAAGAAGAAGGATTCAGCTTTGAAGAAACATTTGCTCCTGATTCATTTATTACTTGCATATTCTTGTTCATTAAATTTTCAGTTATTTCATATAGATGTCAAAAGTGCTTTTTTGAATGGATATATCAATGAAGAAGTATATGTCAAACAACTTCTCAATTTTGAAGACTTCAAGAATCCTTCACATGTCTATAAGTTGAGAAAGACTCTTTATGGCTCAAAGCAAGCACCAAGAGCTTGTCATGATAGATGTAGCAACTTTATTTGTGAAAGAGAATTTGGAAAAGTTAAAGTTGATACTATGTTATTTATTAAGAAAATTAAAGATCATAGTTTATTGGTTCAAATCTATATTGACGATATCATATTCAGATCAACAAATAAAGATCTATGTGAAAAAATTTCAATGATGATGCAAGGAGAATTTGAGATCTCCATGACGGGTAAGATGAAATATTTTCTTAGACATCAAATTAAGCTATTAAAGAATGACATTTTCATAAACCAGAATGATATTTTCATAAATCAAACTGAAATTTTGGCACTGCAATACAGATGTCAAGACTGATGTCCTAACACCAACACAATATTAAGACAGATGTTATGACATCATCTAGTGACAGAACATACTTGATAAAACATGAGATTATGTAGAAATTAAATTGCTGAAAAATAAACAACACAATCAATTGTTAATCCAGTTCGGTGCAACGTCACATACTCTGGAGACTACCAAACCAGAAAGGAAATTCACTATAATAATATTAGTTTAAAGCCTAAACAATCTTAGTTTATAACTTCTCACCTAATCACTACCTTGTGCAACTTCTACCTAGAACCCTCTAGATATGAGATCCCTCTCTCACTTTCAATCACCTCAGTGATACCTATAGTCACAAACATGTGACTAGAACAAAAGAATCAAATATAAGATTACATTTTAAATAAATAATATTTAACTCTTTGCTTAAAAGCTCGTGAGTGAGAACAATACTTAGTTTTTCTTAAAAGTTTCAACTAAGAACAATCCGTCAATCTCAATGTATCAAAGATACATAAGTGACATACAAAGAAAACACAAAGACTTTAAAAGACTCCCAAGATCCTAAACTCTTATATTGTACCTACAATTTTTCTTGTTGAATGCTTATTATTTTAGGTTTAGCAAGTCCTTATTTATAGACTCTTGTAGAATGTGTTTGGACTCTTCAAATCAAATCCAATTTACTGTTTCAAATCAGCCGTAAGATCTTCACACAAAAATAGGAACAAATCTTCAAAGTATCTTAAAAAGTCTCCAAGGTCCTTTTTATGAAAACAAATTAAATATGCACTTGTTCCTAATAAAATCTCTTTGACCTGCACAAAATAATGAGATATATCTAAAAAGATATCACAAAATCAAATCAAATATGTCAAGAGATATAACAGTAGCACCTATTATATAATAGGCTGAGATGTCAAGACATCTGACTCAACATTTTTCTGGTATACATGACAGCATAACCTGTCATGACAGTTGGTCAAAATGTTGTGACATCTTGCTAACACCAGATCAGAACCATGTTTTAGCAAAATTTATTCCAATCATAAAATCATGGATCTAACAATCTCCCCCTTTGGAAAATTTTGGATGAAACAACCTTAGCACAATCAAACTGGAGAGAGGAATAAAACCCCAACCATAAAACATAAGCTACATGCAGAATATGTAAACTTTGTACAAACTGCAGTCATAAAAATTCATCAGAGATTACATGCAGTTACAAATCGCCATCTTCAACACTCTAGAAGACAGATGTCCAGACATACGGTCTGACATCACACACGACAACTTCAAGTTGAGCACACGAGCTAGACAGATCAGACAAGTCTATTACTCCACCTTGTCACACATAACAAGTACTCCCCCTCAAGGGAAACCTCACCAAATATGAATTACTCAAGTTCACATATCAGAGGCACATATAGTAGAAGATAAAACAACCTCACACATTAGGATTTTTACAACAGGCATATCAGGCAGGATGTTAGAACATCTGGTAAGACATTCTGCATACAACCACATATGCAATAGCAGCAGCAACATCACCAAACAAGCATGGTAGACTATCATGCTCCCCCTAAATAGTTGCATACAATAAGAAATCACAATCACTACTCTTTCCTTAGCAGTAGCACAATCCTATCAGCATGCTAATCAACATGTTAAGACATGTGTCATAACATCAGGATAAATGAAAACACTAACATTTTACTCCCCTTTTTAGCCAAAAATTGACCCAAAAAATAGAGTAAATGTAAAGACAAAATAGAAGCACACACATTACACACACGTAATAACATAGGTGGAAGCATACAATCAAAGATGGTAACACACAACTCATATGAAAACACACAAACTTGAACAACTTCAAGTGGTCTGCCACCTCTTGCCCCTGCTAAACATATTTCTGCATTCCTTGGTGCTGTCACCATCCCTTTTATCAATAACAATTTGTATAGGCTTATTATGCCTCAGAACATAGAGGAAAAGCATAGTATTTGCTGCATTCCTCCATACTTATAATTGTTATAATTCTTCAATAGTGCAAGTTCCAATCCCACCGCTTATGTTCTTAATCTGATTTGCTTTAAACATAATAGTAAGTTGTTCCTTATTGTTCATATGCTCTAGAATAATAAATTTTCCTTCAACAAGATTCTTGATTAGTCGATTATGACTATCAAGATTCTTGTACCAACCATGTTAAATAAGATGTTTGATATCACTCAGATCTTCACAACATAATACCAAGACGTCATATTTGACATTATAATCCTTCAACACCTGTTTCCTCCATACTAGTTGAAAGCAACCTCCCCCTGTTCCACCATATATAGCTTCAGTAGTATTCAAAATGTTTCTCAATACTACTATCCAATTTTGCCTTGCAGAAATCTTTCACGCTTAAAGAGTAAGGCACACCATAAAAATTGATTTAAATGATGCAATTCAAATTCTTCCTTTCTTGAATAATAAGAATCATCCTTGGTTCAAGCTTAGAAATAAGACATGGATTTGATATTTTCTTATTGAATTCAATGATGTCTTCTTCATTGAGGTAGCTTGAAATCATTTCCTTAGATTGTTCTATCAGACTTATAGTAGAGATACTTTTGTTGGCTTGAGAACTCACTGATTCAAAGCTTGTGGATTCACAAAATACCTCCCTTACTACCTTATTAGTCTGCACACAGGATGTTCCAACATTATTCTCAACATCCATCATTTGTTCAGTAATTTAATCATCCATTACGATACTGATAGATTCCATTGTCATTTCAGTTATGGAGTAAAAACTTTATAAGCTCTCATGTTTTAAGAGTAACCTAGAAATACCCATTCATCCCTTATGGGATCCTTCTTACCCTTTTGATCTTTGTCACTCAAGACACGACATTTACTTCCAAATAAATGAAAGTATTTGACTTTAGGCTTCCTTCCTTTCCATAGCTCATAAAGAATAGTTGAAGTACCTCCTCTCCAGGTGACTGTTTACCGTGGTTATTGGTAAACAACCGCTGATCCTCCAAATGGTTACTTATTTGGTTACTCGCAGGATCGATCAGATTGATCCTAAGACATAGGTTGATTTTGAGGTTTTGATTAAGTTGGATAATGGTTAAATGATAATAAAATAAAGAGGCTTTAAGTAAATTGCATGAAGAAGTGGACTTTGATAAAATAAATGAAGGCTTGAAATAAAAGGCTTCGACAGGAAAAGTAAAGAAGAAAGCAAGTAAAGTTTCTGGAAAGTAAATGACTTTGATTAATAAAAGTGGTGTTTCACACATACATTCTCAACAATTCTTTCTCACACGCTGGGTACTCGAATCTATATGAGTGACTTTGTATATAATTGTGAACACACGCGAGAAACTGCGTGAACTACTACTATTTATACTAAAACATCCCAAGTAACCGTCGGGCAGTTACACTGCTTCGAGATGACTCCACTTGGCACGTTCTCAGCGTTCGACGCCCCAGATCTTTGCATGTTGCACTTGGTAACCGCTGGAAACCGTTTTCCCTCCAAACGCTTGAATTTCAAACCGTTCCACTCCGAACCATCGAACACCTTCGTCGAGAAGCATCTTCGACGAGAAACACCTTCGACGTCGAAGGCAACCAACTTCTCCCTTGGAAGAAATCCTCTAAGTACATTGCCATCTTTCGATGGGCATTTCGACAGACCCAGCTGGTCAAAAACATCCTTCAGCTTTAATGGCTGATATTAATAAAACAAGGGTGTCGAATTTAGGAGCCAACAAATTGCCCCCCAAGAATGCCTTATTTCGACTCTTGAAAGAAAAAGGCATTCTTTGAAATGCCATTCGACACCTGTCTTTTCATTCTTAGTCACAAATTAAATTGTGCACTTTTTGTTGTCTTC